TCGGGCCGCTCTGTCCGTGCTAGGAAGCCTGCTCTTACGTTTTTGGCTTCAGAGTAGAAAGACGACCCCAGCTCTGAATTACACGACTCTCCGAGGAGTCTCAGGGGAAGTGAGCTGCAGGCGGGGTGGACCCCAGGGTGGGCGCATCCTCCCAGCCCACGAGCACGCGGCCTTGTGAGGCCCCAGCCGGGGGCATCCTCCCGAAAGCCGTCCCATGAGGTGCCAGGCTGACCTCGGAGGTCAGCCTTCCAGGGACTCGGGCGGTGGCAGCTCAGCCCGACCTCTGTGCCGCCCGGACCCTTCGGGGGCCTCTCCCTGCGGGGTACGGCGACAGGGATGGAAGGGCGCACGCATACGTGTGCTGCCCGCCTGGGTGCGGGCGGGAGGGCTCTCCAAAGGTGCCCGCCGGGCCCAGAGCCAGACCAGAGGCCCCGAGCCCTTCCTCGCACGGGCTGCAACCGAAACCCCCTCCCTGGGCGGACTGGCCAGTCCGCGCTCTGGTTTGCCGCCGCCACACAGCTCCTCCCCCGGGGCCCGGCCCAAGGCAGCTTCCAGAAGGTGGGCCCTGGGGCCTCCTGTCCCAGACCCCGCGGTGTGCCTGGTGGGCGCTGGTGGGCAGGGCGTGGGGGTGGGCAGGCCGGACGAGGCACCCAGGCACGGTGAGGGAGCCCCCTGACCTTAGATGCACCCCCACCCACTCATCCCTCATGTTTTGCCGGCATCCAGCGACCTACACACGGTTGTGTCGGGTGGCGTGGTTTGTGTCAGCTTTGAGGTATAACTAAGATGCCACACGGCTCTTATGTAAGTTCAGTGGTTCGGTGCATTCAGAGCTGTGCAGTCATCAGCTATAATTCAGGAACGTTTCATCACCCCCAGAAGAAACCTCACCCAGCAGCCGTCACCCCGTCCTCCCCTGCCCCTCCCCCAGCCCGGCCCCCTCTGTGTGCAGATGGGCTTGTCCCGGGCGAGGCGGGAGAGGCGGTGTTTGTGCTTCATCTCCGCAGCACGTCTCCGGGCTTGTCCGTGCAGGAGCCCGTGTCGCGGGTCCGTCCCACTGAGGCGGGTGACATCGTGTGGCTGGGCGCACACTGCTCGCCCACTCTGTGAGGTGGACTGTGGGCCACGTCCACTTGCTGTCTGCCGGGCAGAGTGCCCCGTGCGTGGCACAGGGAGGGTTACGAGGACAAAGGTGGCAGATGAAGACCCGGGATGCGTGCCATCCCTGGTGCTGACGCCAACACCTGATGACCCTGAGTCCCTGGGGTCAGCGTCAGTTCCCCTCCCTGACCCTCAACTCGGCCAGGACCGCACAAGGTGACTGGCGTGTCTCTGTGGGAAGTGGCCACCTCTTCCCCGCTCACGTGGCCGCCTTCTCTGACAGCCAGCAGCCCGATGACAGGGCCGTGTCCCCCTCGGCCTCCCGCTTTGGTGCTTGCTGGGTGTCCCCCTGAACAAGCGCTCAGCGCGCTCCTGCGTGTGCGGGGCAGACACCTGAGCACCCGGCCGTGGGAGCAGGTCACCCTTCAGCTCCCGGCTCTTTCTGTGCACCGTGCTGGTCCTGCCCGCTGGCTGTGTGGCCGGCACAGCGCTGAGTCAACGCCCAGCCGCTCCAGAGCCTCCAGCCGATGGGAAGCCTGTCACGCCCGCGAGGACAGCCTGTGAGGACCCTGCGCCGGGAGCCTCCTCGCGGGTGTGGCGGGAGCCTGTCCCATGACTAATGCTGCAGGGAATTCCCTAATGACTCGGAATGTTTTCACTTCTGGGCTTGTGCACAGTTTCCTACTGAGCAGCCCGGCGAGGCCCTGATAAGGCTGGAGCACAAAGGCCCATTCAGCCGACGTTTCCGTCCCAGCGGAGGCCGAAGGCTCGCGCAGCAGTCAGGCCGCCTCCGCCCGCGCTCTGCCCAAAACCGGGCCGGAGGGCTGTGCGCTGGGAGCAGCAGTCAGCGCTCTGCTGGTGCCGGCAGAAGTGGGAGCCCACCCGTTCTTGGGGGTTCCCACAGCCCGGCGGCGTCAGGCACCTTGACCCTGCTCCGTCCTGGACGCCTGGGCCTCGCACAGGTGTTCTGGCTGCAAACGCACGTGGCCTTTGGAAGAACTCACTGAGGACCCCAGAGGGAAACGGGTGCCCAGCGCCTGCCCCCTGGGGCTGTGGCTCAGCCCAGGTGTAAAGTCCTGTGGAAACAGGGCCGGCCCAAGACGGCTCCGCAGTGCTGGGGGGGGACGGGCGTGTGGGCACGGGGTCCCGGCCCCTGGGAGGGCGTGTGCGCCTTGGGGGTTCCAGAGCCCAGCTCTGCCCAGGGCGGCTCCATGTGTGAGATGTGAACTGTCAGCTGTGTGGACAGGCAGACGCTGAGCAGCAGCGCGTTTTGTCTCCAGTAGTTCAGGCTGAGACACCTAAAGCCGATTTTCTTGGGGGCGGGTGGGGCGCGAAGATGGGCTTTGTCATAAGACAATTGAAAAAGTTGTTTTTGAAAGGCACCAGGAGCCTGCAGACGGGCTGGGTTATCTACAGGGCGATTCTGATTTCCTTCAACAAGGGGGGCGGGCGGGGGCCCCCACAGCAAGCCCAGGCCCCTTGCGAAGTCGCCGGGAGGCCCGTGAGGTCCGGGCGCCTGGTGGGAGTGAAGGCTGCTGCGTGCTCCCGCGTCCTGAGCTGTCGGGACCCCGGAAGCTGTGCTGCTGTCAGGCTCCCGAGGCCCGGCGTCCGTTTCCTGTCCCCTTTCCCTGGCGGAGCCATGGCCGCCCCTCCCCGGGGCCGCGGGCCCGTGTTTTATCACCGAGGGGCTTCGGCTGTGCTGGGCCCTCGGCGCCCCGGCGGCTGGCTGGTGCAGCCTCCCTGTGACTCACCCACGTTTCCTCTCTCTGTCTCCACCTCCCACCCCTGCCCGGCAGGCACTTTCAGGGAGAGAAAGGAGAGTTTGTGTCATTTATTTATAATCTAGGATTTGTAACGCATACACACGTCTTCTGTGAAAACAGAGCATAAGCAAGAGCTAAGTCTGACTAGATGGCCTTGTTCGTTTGGGGGAACCAACTTCAAAAAAGATCAACAGGAACGAGGCCTCTGTGGGAGGCTGACATCTATTCACAAAATTACCCCAAAGCCAGTCCCTAAACAGTGTGTCCTGCAGAGCGGGGCTTCCAGACTCCGGAGTCGGGTTGGGGTGCTTCGCGGAGTGGGGGCTGAGCCTCTCTCCCCAGGGCCTGGCCTGAGGACGAAAGCCCTTCCATAGGCCCCTTCACAGCCTTTTTATTTTTTTGTTTAAACATGCAAATGGCCACTGGGGTAAGGTTAAAAATACCTTGTGCTTTGCATTTCTGTGTCCTGATGTGGCAAACGGTAGTCAAAGAAAGGACTTTCTCACTGCCCTGCAGTTCCTCTGAGTGCAGGCCGGCGGCCGGGGCCTCACTCCCTAGAACAGCTGCCCCGAATGCACAAAGGGCTCAGGCCCCAGGCAGTTAGGCTGGCGGTGCGTCCACTGCACCCCGGGGCTAGAGCTGGCGGGTGTGAGAGCGGGGACTCCAGCCGGGCTGCAGGCCGAGGGCGGCCCACTGCCTGGGGTCGCCCGTGTCCCTCCTGAGCCCGCGCGCCCCCGGAGACGGGCACGCAGAGTCCCTCCCAGCTGACGTGGGGCTGGTGGCACTGGGCAGAGGACGGTTTCTGCGGGCGCCTGCTGCCACGGCTCCCTCCAGACCCAGGGGCCTCAGGGCCCCGCCAGCTTCCCTGAGCCCCAGTTTGCATACATCTCCCTTCCAGACCCGATGTCCGCCCCTCGGGCAGTCACGCCGGTGTGGTTTTCTGCCCTCACAAGTTATTAGCCGGGATGGCAGAGCCGGGCAAGGGGTGGGACCTCTGCTCAGAGGGTGACAGTCACTGGGACGCGTTTGCCTGCGCCAGGCTGCGTTTTCGGGGTGCACACTCAGGCACACGAGTAACAGCCTTCTCGCTGCCTTTTTCAGATGGCCACCACATCTGGGAGATGGAGGCGAAAACCGACCGAGACCTGTGCAAGCCGGTAAGTGTCACTCAGACGTGCAGCCACGACAGTGTGTTCTACGGGCTCACCCGGAGTAGGGTGCCCGCCAGAGGCACGTGGTTCCTGGTTTGTTAAGGTGAACGACTGAAAAAAACGACAGAAAGAGTAACAGGACTAGACGTGGCTGGAAGCACGTCCGTGAGCCGTGCTCTCAGGAGGCAGACGGCGAGCCGGTGGACGGCATGTGCCCCCCACAGGCTGGACGCCTCACCCAGGAAAACGCCCAGCGCTGACCGCTCCCAGCCACGCGGGCCAGGACATGGCTGCACACTCAGGCCCAGGGCACACGGCCTTTCTGTCACCTTCTGGCTGTCGTCGTCACCAGGGCCCCCACATAGCCTGCTGTCCCCCAGGAAGACTGCTGCTCTGAGCCTCTGAGTGGACGCCACACCTGCTGGGTGGCTGGTCCCACCAGCGTCCTTGGCAGCAGCTTATTATTATTACCTGTCCTGCTCAGAGAACACACATCGCTCCGCAGACGCTTGTTTGGATGTGAAATCGGCGTGAAGTCAGGTGTAACTGTGCTTGTCAGGCGCCCTCATTCCGTTTGCCGGGTAGCGGGGGCCTGGCTGGGGCCGGCGTTCTGGGGACTCCTGCCCTGACGTTGTTGTCACCGTGTTGTTGTGCACCTAGCTTTCCCAGCTTGCTTGCTACCCGAGTAGTAATTCCTGTTTCTTCGATGGTGATCAGGGGAGAGTGTCTGTTGTCTGAAATCCCCTGGCTCCCGGCTTCTCTCGGCCCGTGTCGGCCTGCCGTGTCCTCCTCTCCTTTCTCGTGACGGGTGTCTTTATGTTTGAAGTGGCTCCTTGCGGACAGAAGCTGGGCCTTCATCCCTCTGACGGTCTCTGTCGTCCAGCTGGTATAACTAGACCGCCGGTGTTCAGAGTGGCTCCTGGCAGTCAGGTTAGCGTCCCCCACTCAGTCTGTGTTTTCTGCCTGGTCCCGGAAAAGCCGCAGGATCTGTGCTGACGTGGAAGACACCGTGGCCTTTGATGACATTCACAGCTCTCCCCGCCCCGCTGGTGGCCATGTGGACGGCCCTTTGGAAAGTGCCAGGGACACAGACAGGCTGTCAGTCAGGCCAGGCGCCTCATTTCAGGGGGTCCTGTGGGTCCAGATGGTCAGAGGCTTGGGAGCAGGACACCGTGGTGGTGGGTTGGCCGCAGCGACCTGGGCGACGCGTCTCTGCCCTGTGGCTGGTGGGACCCTGAGTCACGGGCCTGCCCCGCTCCCCAAGCTGGAGTTGGGAAGGGCAGGCTGTGCCTGGGGCTTAAGCTCCACTCCATTTAGCAGAAGCCTTTCCAGACGGTGTCCCCTGGAAAAGACCCCTCCCCGGCCCGGGCGACCCCACATTCAGGTGTGGTGCCCAGGCCCCTGCCACTCGGAGCCCCCGTCCAGTCCACTCGTGTCCTCACCTCCTGAGGAGCCCCGAGGAAGTGCGGCAGCGCAGGCAGCGCGGCCCCAGACGGGGCTCCTGGCCCAGCAGGTCTGCAAGGGACAGAGTCGTCCAGAGCGCGAGGGCTCGACGTGAAGAGACGCCTCCCAGGCCCAGCGTGCTCCCCGGCCCGGCGGGCGGGCGGGCGGCGGTCCCCCCTCCACTCAGCGTGCTCTCCGTACTCACTTCCTACACGGGTCACCCCGACTTCTGGCCCCAGGTCCAGGGCAGGCCGGGCCCTCCCCGCTCTCCACCGTGGGGTCCACACCGCCCCTCGGCAGGAAGAAGCCGCCTGCAGAAACCAGGCTTCTTTCTGTATCGAAATAACCCCTGCCCAGTTTACATGCTCGGGGTGTTGTTGTTTTTGTCATTGAGTTTTCTTTTTAACTTCGAATAGTTGCTTGTTTTCAAGGAAGCTTAACAGTTAGTTGTATGTTTTAAAAGAAACATAATAGTACACGTGAATACTGATACACTTCATGTTTACAACTTCATCCTTCTTATCTCTTAAATGAGGTTTACTTTTATATTTTTTCCTCGTTATAAAAGGAACATCACATTCACTGTGGTAATTTGGAAAATATAACAGAGTATGAAAAAGGAAGCAGGCACCCAGTGAAGTTTCTCCACTTAGACGTAACCCCTCTTACCGTTTGGGCGCCTTTCCTTCCACTCTTTTTCTGGGGTGGGCGTGGGGCTAAAAACACGAAGACTCCCCCTCCCACCTCCTAAGTGCTTCCGGCTGGGCTAACGAGTAAATTAACAGGGACAGGGTCCCAGGAGGAAATCGGATTTATATACGTGCGCTCAGGGGAGTCCCACGGCTGGACCGCTCCCGGCGGTCAGGCAGCACTGGTCTGTGATATTTTGGACAAAGGAGACGAGGGGACGGGCTCTTAGATTTCAGAAGTAAGGTGGACGGGTGACAGGGAGCTGAGGAAGCGCAGACGGGACGTGGCGGGAACATCCTTGCTGGCAGCTCACGCAGGGGACACGGGGCCGTCGGGCTAACAGGCCTGGAGCCTTGCCGACCAACGCTGGGGTGACGTTGTCTCGGGTGGTGAAGCCCACGCTCCCCGCCTGAAGCAGCGTTTTCTTCTGAATCTCTCGGGCAGGGACAAAAGTTCTTTCTGAGTCTTATTTCTTAATAAACAGCTTAAATATCCCAAAAAGCAGCTTCAGGGTAGCATGACATTGTATGTTTGTTTGTTTGTTTTTAAACAAAATGAGGCTGTTCTGTATGTACAGTTTATTTACTTTCATGAGCAATTTAGGCAGTGGGTTTTCTTGAAGCAAGTCCGATGGATGCGTTGAGTGCCACTTGTCATCCTGTGCCCGCTGCTGCATTTTCTTTCTTACCTCTGCCTCTGCTCTGTAGTTAAAGCACTGGTGCTCCCGTGGGGGTTCTATTTTGCCACATAATTGGTCTGCGTAGGGGGCTGAAGCGTATCAGCCTGTGCCCACGTCAAAACGTGAGCCTCCGGTCACTTGGAATTTATAAGAGCTGACCCCACGGAGCCGAATGTGCTGCGAGCGGCACAGCACCCTCCCTGCTGCGTCCCAGTGCCTGGTGACGGTCACTGCATCTCGTTGTTATTTCCAGTCTCAGCCTAAGCTGGGCCTCCTCCTTCCTGACTCTTCTCCTAATTTCTTCCGTAGAGATTAAGCTTCTTTACCTGTCCGCTCAGTGATGCCTCGCTGTCACGCGTGTCAGCTGTGCACCAGGCCCTGCACCAACCACCCGCAGCGCCTCCTCCCACAAAAGCGGATCCTCAGGAAACAGCCCCTGAGGGAGCGTGTTTCTCTTTCTCTTCCCTGTACAAATGGGAAACTGACTCAGAGAGTGTGGGAGCCAGGGTGGACCCCAGACCTGTGTGACCCCACGCCAGGCTGCCCCGCGCAGGAGCGGACTCCCAGCAGAGGCGCCCGTGCCGCCCCCCGTGCCCCACGGCCCCCTCGTCAGGGCTGTTTCTGATGAGGGGACAACACGCCCAGGCAGGAGGAAACGGGCCTGCCTCTTGCTTCTAAGTGAAATGAAGTTATTAAAACAACAGAAACGTGTGACCTGGAGCAAGTGTGGTCCCAGGGGTCGGAGCCCCTCTGGCCCTGCCACCGTGTGCCCTCAGCAGCCCCTTCTGTGCCTCAGTTTCTCCTGTAAAAGGCAGATGTTTGGCCTGAAGTGCTCTTCAGTTTTTTGCTTTTACATTCTTAACGTTTCATTATTAACGTGATTCAGTCAATTTTGCTATTAACCTGGGTAATAAGCTACAATTACTTGAACAAAAAAAAAGTGACAAAATGGATTTTTCTTATACATTTTCCCTACTTGTTAAGCGAAATCATGACAGAAAAACTGAAGGAACTTTTTGGAGGTGACCCACCCCCACTCCCGCCCCCTGAAATCAAATGCAACTCTGCGGCCTTCTGCAGTGCTGGCTCACGCGTGGGCGGACCCTCACGTGGCCCAGGGCTGGCACCCTGAGCAGGTCCCTGAGCACAGACACCTGGGATTCGGGCGTCCCAACCCAGCCTGTTTTTTCTCCCACGAAGCCTCACTGCCCCACAGCGACTTGCTTCTGTGTCTACTTGGAAGGACGTAATGTTGTAACACTGTCGCTGGTTTGTATTTTAAAACATGCAGAGTCACAGCAACTGCCTTAATCTGCCCTGTTCCACCTGAGCCTTTGCTCTCTAGCTGCCCATCACCTCGCAAACCTGTTACACGTCCGGTTCTCCCGTCTTCTCCAATCTGGGAGTCCGTGACTTGGGCTTTGGGCCATTGTTGTCACAGACCGTGTCCCCAGAGACATGTCTCCAGGAAGTACCTGCCCTGGGTCTTCATGACCACTTACCTGAGCAGGTGCTCCCTGCTCCGTCCACGGGCCAGTGAATGGGGGCTGTTTTTTCATTTCCAGAGCTCACTGATGCTTTCTTTAAGGCAGACAGAAGCTTTGGGGTCTCCTGACAGCCTCTCCTGCCCAGGAGCTGCTCCGCCTTCGGCACGCGCACTCGCGGTCTCTAGCTGAGCCCGTGGCATCTTAGCTGAAGTCCCCAGCCTGCATCCCCCCCACCCCTCACACAGCACCTCAGACCACCCCTCCGCCCTGGGCGTGTAGGCCTGGCCCGCACAGGCATGTGCCCGCGTCCCATGCAGGTTCTGTGGGCAGCTTCTGTGCAGCTGTCCTGGGGGACCCCGGGGCCTGTGGGTGGCTGCTGTCACGCAGAGCACCGCACGCGCAAGACGCTAACGGTCCCTCCTGTCTGCCGCTTTCTCACCAGAATTCCTTGGTGGTTGAGATTCCCCCGTTTCGCAATCAGAGAATAACCAGCCCCGTCCAAGTCAACTTCTACGTCTGCAACGGGAAGAGGAAGAGAAGTCAGTACCAGCACTTCACCTACCTTCCTGCCAATGGTAACGCTGTCTTTCTATCCTTAAGCGCTGCACACGAACCAGTGGGGTGCTTTTTCTAAAAGACGCAGGAATGATGGGCTGCTGTCACTGTCAAACGCGGCTCCATTGTACCTTTAAACTGTGTTATTATGTTGTTAGCAAGACCATGTCGTCAGTTCCTTAAAAAAAAAAAAAAGCGAAGCTTTTGGTGTATTTCCCTTCATTAATGTGGGGGTGGGGCAGTGCGTTGGGGTAATTCTGATCATTATGCTGGCTGCTTGCAAATATGTAACGTCCAAAGGGGAGAGGAATTGCGGCTGTTCTGCACGCAAAGCCGAGTGCTCCGTGTGGTTCCAATTCTGTGGATGTTTAAGGTGGAAAGCAAACAGCTGTAATTATTTTGCAGGTGCCTTTAGAGTAAACCCTTGCTACTAAGCCTAACGCCTCCTGCCGATGTGGCCGTTAACGAACACGGGTGGTTTTCGCACCATGACGTTCTAACGTGAATAATTGCATCTCCCTGTGACCATGAGGCCTCAGGTCCAAATACCTTTACTCAGCCAAGAAGTATTCTGGTTCAGGTTGTCTGTCTACACGTTTTGAAGACAACTTCGGATCACTTAAAAAAATCCGTTTACATTTGTTACTTTTTAGGGTGTTTTCCTAAAGAGAATACCGTGCCCCCACCCCCTGCACGCCTAGAAAGGGAGGCATTTGGTGCAGCGAGAGCTCAGAGCCCCTGAGTGTGCCGTGAGCCCCGCGCCCCCCGGCAGCCAGGCGGGCGCAGAGCACGGGAGTTGTCCTGGACCCAACCGTGTTTCGCTGGGCCCAGCTCTGCCAATGACCTCTTTACGCTGTAGCCTTTGTTCTAAACACATTAAATTTCTGTAACATAAGAGGCAGATCATACTCTACAAACAGTTGCAAAAGCAGCCATGTTGTCACCTGAGTGAAAAGCAGATGTCTTTGAAGGCTTCTGTTTTTCTGTAAATGTAGAAAGTCACTTACAGTAGACTAGATAATAGAAAGCTCTAGAATATCTGTGCTGATATTAAAGTTAGAATGAACTGTTTTTCAAGCAAATAGTAGCCATGCCTTTGAAGATTTGAAAACTAAGGCTTGGTTGTAAATTACCACGTCGTGAGCATGTCCACGAAGTGGAGCGGTGGCGGCTCACGGAGCTGCTCAGGACACGCGTGTTTGTTTCGTACCTGAGGCCCCTCTGGGTCTCTGTGATCTGTACTGCGCATACGTCATGAACCCCCCCCCACACCCCCCATTCTGGAAGAAGGTACCATGTATTGTACAAAAGAAAATATTGAGCCTCTTTGTAAAAATGTAATGATTGTGTCCTAATTAAACTTCAAGCATGGTGGTTGACCAAATATTGACTGTTTTTAAAGAAAATTTAGGTCTTACAAATTCCTCCCTAAAACAGTTTAGAAAATAGCCCTAACATTGATGACTCAGCAGTCATGCTCCAAATTCACAGAGCGCCGACTGTGAACACACTCACCCAGTGTCGGACGGGGAAAGGGCCTGTATGTCGCCTGACACCGGCCACACAGACTGAGGCTGACACCATGGGCCGCTGCCGGGCTGGCCACGTGCCCTCCGGTGTCACCCACCCTGCACAGTCACTCCCACGGGGATCTGGGCTGCCCTCTGCCAGACAATAACGACACCACTCTCTACACCTGCCCAGGTCCCCCGTCACCACCTTGCACGCCTGCCCAGGTCCTCCATCACCGTGCTTTACGTGACAGCCGACCTGCACCCGCTCCGTTAGCTGGCTCCCAGGCGTCACCCTCATCCGTCCCATCAGGACACTGACCTCTCAGGCTCAGGATGGCCTGTACTTCCCATGTAGTTCAGGGGGGGTGTGAGTCCTGCTTTTATCAGGCCCTGTTCTCCCGTATCACTTGTGTCCTTGAAGCTGCTTCAGTCCATGGAGCCCGAGGTGCCCACACTGCCAGGCCCTGGAGGGGCCGTGTCCTCGCTGCCTTCCCGGGTGGTCCTCCAAGCCCCGTGGGGTTGTGATCACTGAGCGTCCCGGTAGTGTGTGAGCTCCCCGAGAGCAGGGACCTCGGCCGGCGTCAGCTCCGTGCCTGAATGTGGGCCTGTCCTCACATGGTTTTCAAGATAAATAAATGAACGAATGTTGGCGAGCTCGAGCAGCCGTTTCAGTTTGGTGTTTTCCTCGCCGTTTGCGCTTTGGGCCGCATCCGCTGACGGGACTACGTAGTCATGAGCGGGCACCAGGGCCCGTGTGCCCACGGCCACGCGCTGCGGCTGTGAGTGCTGCTAGCGTGTCTGCACCCAGCTCCATCGGCCAGCACCCCCAGCGAGGCACGGCTCCAGCCCCGAGCTCCAGAGACGCGTGCAGAGGGGGCTGTGTGGGTCGGGCAGCGTGTGGCGTGTCAGTCAGAAACACCGGTTTTCAGTCACTTTGGTTTGCTTCCTTCTTTTGAGGCCTTAGTTGTGGGGTTGCTAACGTCCCTGTAGGACTCGGGGCCATGTCCACTCACAGCGTGCTCCTTCCGGCCACAGCAGAAACCTCCCAGGTGGTGATTTTGCTTATGGAGATGGACAGATTCTTTTCAAGCTCCTAAAATGTGCTGTTGAAATGTGACGGACCATGGAAATAAATCCATTTAAATCCTGCCCATGAAATTCATTTTCGTGGGCACATATGTAAAGGCAAATCTCGTTATAGGGTTTCCTTCAAAATTAGGTGGAAGTGGGATGATAGCATGGGTCAGGTGCACGCGTCTCTCGGTGTGACTCAGTGCCCTTGAGAACGGCCTTCGCACGGAGCCGCCCGCACTCGGGTCGGGACCCTCACTGCCCGGGAGCAGGACAGGTGAGGTTGCAGGTGGTGGAAGTGACGGGCAAACGCATGTGTTGCTTGGAAGAGGGCTAAGAAGGGCCCACACCTTTGTCATCTCTTGTCACCTTCCCCACTTCTCGTCTCAGCACTACCTTCTGATGACCGGACAGCAGATAAGCAGCTCCCGCGAGTGACACCCACTTCAGCCCTGTACCCCCAACCCCCTGTCGTCCGAAGGTGGCCTGGTCACGTTCCGAGTCGCGGGGCAGACAGAGGCAGGCCTCTGGGCTCCGGGGGGGCCGTCGTCTGTGGCTCCTGGTCTGCGTGGGCCCAGGACAGTTTTCTCCCTCATCCCTGTGGGGGGGCTGAGTGTTTAATGGAGGAAAGCTGCCCACTGAACACAGGGGCCGTGGAAAGCATGCACGGCCCGTTAGAAGTCCCTCACCTCACCCTCTGCCACCGTGGGTTCTCACGTGTCTTGTCTGTCGCTGTTTTGTCTAAGTGGCATAAACGCAGTCTTCTAGAAGCAAACCGTCCTGTCTCTGGCCGTGCCGTGTGGGCTGAGGGGCCCTGGCACCCGTCATGAGAGAGACGCTGCCAGAAGTGGTGGCAGTGCTGAGCCCAAAATGTCAGTTGAAATTAAAGGTAGCAAAGGGCCTGACCTGTGGGGAGTGGGGGAGGTGACGGTCCCCACCGGCTGCGGCTCCCTCGGCTCATGTCGCCGTTGGCTGCCCCCCCCCCCGGTCCCCAACCCTGGGGACGAGCGGCAGGGGCGGGAGATCAGTGATAAAAATAATTCCAAGTTGTGACCTCAAATTCATGTAAAATGAGAAAATCATGACAGATTATTGGGTCTTGGGGCGTCTGTCTTTTCATGAGTTGTTTTTAGTTGGTTTCCCAGCAATGCCTGTGATGGCAGCGGGCCTCCGCCTCCGTCACTCATGGCGATGTGGGTGAGGGTCCCGGCGCTTTACCGGGAAGTCCCAGAGCCGCCTTCCTCGGGGGTCCGCGGGCAGCCAGGACTCCCTGCCTGGGGACCTGCTTGTCCCTCACATACAGGCCCAGAGGCCATGTGGTGACGACCGCTCGTGCAGGCACGGCCCCTACAAACCTTGCTCAGGATGCGGGAGAAACAGCTTCGACCCCTGGAAGGGCTGCCGACCGGGGACAAAGGTGCCCCAGGATGGCGGCCCCTGCCCACCCAGGCTCTGTCACCCTGCCTGTTGGGGGGGAGGGTCTGCGGGCCAGACGTCACTGCACCCAGAGGGGACCTCAGGCTCCTGCTCACCATTAGGGAGACACGTGGTTGAGTCAGCGCCCCCCGAGGGCAGTGGCCTGATTGGAAGAGGGAGAAAGCGGGACTAGATTCCGTTTTCTCGTTTGCTTTGTCACGTCCTGGGTCAGTGCAATGTGACAGAAGCGTGAGAGGCAGGGCCGGTCAGCCAGGCGGCGTCCGCAGCCGCCAGTCGGCCGGGCTGTGTGGCCGCACTCGCCCAGGTCCCTGCAGGTCGCAGGACTGCGGCTGCTGAGTGAGGCCACACAGCCCCTGCAGACGTGGCCCCGAGGGCTCCGGGTCCCGATGCCCCAAGGCTGGACCCAGACCTCGAGCAGCTGGCGTCTGGGCGGAACCGGGGACGAGCGGCCTCCACGTGCCAGCGGCCTCACCGTTGCCACGGGCTCTGGGTCCACGTCGCCACCAGGCGTTTTCGCTCGTCTTTTCCCAAGCCCACTGCATTAACGTTTAAGCCAAGGAATTACCTACGCGGAATCAGTGTATGTCTTAACAGTGGCCTTGGGTTTCATGGCTGGTTGGACCCAAGACTTCGCAGGCCTGGCCTTTGGGCCTCCGGTTGCATTCCCGCCCACATCCCCACACCTGGGGGCCCACACGGCCCTCAACGCCCGAATGTCCCTCATTTTATAGACAAAGAAGTGAGGCTCCTGGAGCTTGAGCTGTTGCCCCTGGACGAGCCGCTGGCCCGCAGTGGGGAGAGGTGTCTGACCCCACGTCCTCTCCAGAACCTCAGCGGGCTGTTCCTCCGGGTTGCCCTGGCCCGTCCTGTTCTTTGAAACGAAATCGCCCCTTCCCTGTGCCCTGATGTGTGAGGCCTGCAGCTTTGTTCTCACAATAAGTCAGTCCATCCGTCTTCAGAAACGCCACGTGTGCTCGGCTCCTGCCAGGGGCAGGGTG